GTAAAGATTTACACCCTCGGAAACCCTGTACTGGGTCGCTATGGGTCGGAACCGACTCGATGGCACTTAACAACAACAACAATTGACTTCTGGTGTGGCATTGTGGATCAGCACTAGACTGCAAATCACAAGGTCAGCAGTTCAAAGCCACCAGCTACTCCTCAGAAACTCTATGAGTTGAAACCAACTTGATGGCATTTAGCAATAACAACATTGTCAGTGCCACAATTTTAAACTTCTACACAGAGTTGCTATGAATTTGAATCAACTTCATGGCAATGAGTTATGATACTTCAATCTACCAATACATGTTCATTTTCTAATTCAAGACAAATAAGTGGAAAATGGGAGCGAGAAGAAAAGAAAATTAGAGGAGCAGTCTAAAGATCCAAACCCAACAAAACAAAGTCAGTTACTGACAACTTGGTCATGACTCAAGGAGACCCCATATTTTATCGATTACAACTGAGTTCAACAGTTTTGAAGCTTTACAAAAGCAGGTCATCAGGCCTGCCTTTTACTGCACCACCAAATGAGTTTGAACTAAAGACCCAGCACCCAAATAACAGGAATTACAAACTGAGAAAATTGATCAGAATGGAAAAAAGTAAGATCTCAGATTAAAAGGACCCACCAAGTGCCCAGCACAAGAAAATAAAACCACACAAAGCTATTATAGTGAAATTTCAGAATACTGAGGATAAAGAAAGGTTCTAGAAGCTTCTAAAATGAAAAATTAGATCACATACAAAGAGGCAAAACTCAGAACAGCTTCAAACTTTCAGTGCTAATAGCACAAGCTAGGTAACAATGGAACTAGGCCTTCAAAATTCTGAAATAAAAGTATTACCAGCCTGGAATTCTATACCCAGCCAAACTACCAATAAAATGTGAGGGTACAATGGAGACTTGTTGACACATGCAAGAGCTTCTCATTTTTACTTTACCAAGGAGCTCTGGTAGAGTAGTGGTTACGAATAGAGCTGCAAACTGCAAGGTCAGCAATTCGAAACTACTAGCTGTTCCGTGGGAGAAAGATGAGGCATTCTGCTCCTGTAAAGATTTACAGTCTCAGAAACCCTGTACAGGGTCGCTATGAGTTGGAACCGATTCCACAGCATACAGCCAGCCAGCTATACCCTTTACCAGAGTTCTTGTGTGGCGTTGTGGGTTAATGCGCCAGACTGCAATGTTTGAACTGCAAGGTCAGCAGTTGAAGCTCAAGCAGCTCCTTGGTCGCTATGGGTCAGAACTGGCTTGACAGCACTTAACAACAACATAACACCCATTACCAAGGAGCTCTGGTAGCGTAGTGGTTACAAACTGGGCTGATAACCTCAAGGTCAGCAGTTCAAAACTACCAGGTGTTACATGGGATAAAGATGAGGCTTTCTGCTCCCGTAAAGATTTACAGCCTCGGAAACCCCATACAGGGTCGCTATGAGTCAGAACCACAACCCACCACCATACCCTTTACCAGGAGACTATTCAGAGGAAGTATTATAACAAAACAAGAGAATAAATAAACTATTCATGTGAGCTACAGAAAATAGAAGCCTTAATACAGGAAACAATTCAAAAGAGTCTCTAGGATGCTGCTGAAGAAGCTAGGTATGCACCAAGGATGACTCAAGGGAAAAAAAATTGTAAAAAGTAGCATTCCCAAGAGACATATGTGCCAAGCTCCATCCAGTTCCTATTCTACCACTGTACTCTCGTTTTAACCTGAAAATACACAGGCACTGGTGAGGTTCCTCTCCTAGTCCTGTCTCAGCAGAGAGCGCTTTTGAATTCTCAGGGAAGTTTCATCCAGATTGTGACCCCCCGGGTAATCTGGAGTCTTCATCAAACATTGGCAATGTTGCCCTTTCCTTACCTTGCTAGCTGTGTATTAAGTTTTTATATTAAGTTCCTTTCACACTCATATAAATGGATATGGTTGCTAAACAAGAATAATACATTTAAAGGAAAACCAATAAAAGGATACACATTGGAAGATATCTACTATCTCATATTAAAAGAGTAGGAACCAACTAGCTACGATGAGGAGAGTGTAGTAAACACAGCTGATTATCAGCACAGTGAGGGAAAGCTAAGCGGCATTCTTGTAGGTGGTACTGGTAAATCCTCTCGGTCCAGGTCACTGTGATCCAAAGAGGCTAGTAAAAGCCCAAAAAGGTTGACTGGGTAAACCAAGCCAAAAAAGCAAAAAATGGAGATGGGGACAATTATGATAATTTCCACTACTACAATGTGTTGTTGTTATTAAGTGCAGTTGAATTGGTTCCGACTCATAGCAACCCTGTGTAGGGTTTCTGAGGAGTAGCTGGTGGGTGTGAACTCCCTATCTTGTGGTTCAAAGTCTAGCGCAGATCCATAGCACCACATCAGGAGTCCCACAAAATAGTAAGTGCATTTTCTGAGTTGGCATGTGCTAAGCAATATGCACTTGATACAACCTTGCTTGCTGAAAGTGAAGAAAACTTAAAATATTTACTGATGAAGATCAAAGAGCACACAGCCTTCGGTATGGATTACATCGCAATGTAAAGAAAACAAAAGTCCTCATCACTGAAACAATAAACAACATTCTTATCAACGGAGAAAAGATTGAAGCTGTCAAGGACTTCATTCTTCTTGGATCAGCTATCAACACTCATGGAAGCAGCAGTCAAGAGATCAAACGACATATTGCATTAGGCAAATCTGCTGCACAAGAACTTTTTAAAGTGTTGAAAAGCAAAGATGTCAGCTTGTGGACTAAGGTGCACCTGACCCAAGCCACTGTATTTTCAATAACCTCATATGCATGCAAAATCTGGACAGTGAATAAGGAAGACTGTAGAAGAATTGATGCTTTTGAGTTATAGTGTTGGAGGAGAATATTGAAAGTCCCATGGGCTGCCAAAAAAAAACAACAGATCTGTGCTGGAAGAAGTGCAGACAGAGTGCTCCTTGGAAGCCAGGATGGCCAAACTTCATCTCTTATACTTCAGACATATTGTCAGGCGGGACCAGTCCCTGGAGAAGGATATCATGTTTGGTAAGGTGGAGGGTCAGAGATAAAAGAGGAAGACCCCCAGTGAGATGGATTGGCCAAGTGGCAGCATCAATGGGCTCCAGCGTGGCAACAATTGTGAGGTTGGCCCAGGATCGGGCAGCGTTTCTTTCTGCTGTGTATAAGGTCGCTATGAGTCTGTACCCACTCGATGTCATTTAACAATAACAAGCATAAACATGCTCTTATCTACACATGATAACCCTCTGAAGTCAGTTTTGGTAGCGGTACTTAATGAAGGTTTAGGGAGTTTGAATAACTATCACAAAAATCATACAGCTAGCAAGATGCAGAGCTCAGAATAAGCCCAGGCCTGATTCCAAGAGCCCACACTCTTGACCACCGCACTAACAGAGAAAGAAGAAACTAGTTCTCAAATATAAAAATGTATGTATGGCATGGCAGATTTAAACTTAACAGTTCATCCAAAAATAAAATCACACACACTCTTTTGCATCAACAAGCATTTAAGAATTTTTCTAAATAATGTTCTCAGCCTTCCTTCCCCCTAAAAACAATGTGGAAGTGAGAGAGAACGGGATGGGAGTTCATTAACCAGGAGAAAGAGAAATTCAAAGGCAAGAAGAGACAGTACTAAAAAGGAACAAAACTCAAAACTAAGCAGATGAACAAAACAGCTGGAGTCTCCTGGATAGACCCTTACATTTCAACAGGAAGAGGACACTGTTTTATATAAGCAGAACCGGCAGCTCAACTCAAATGAAGCAACACACTGGTCTGTGATGACCCACTGCTGGACACACGAGCATACAGCTATGCAATGAGACTCCTGGAGCAGCTCTATAGAATCAGCACTGGACTGTGAACCACAAGGCCAGCAGTTCAAACACACTAGCTGCTCCTTGGAACCCTGATACACGGTCACTATGAGTTAGAACCAACTCCACAGCACTTAACAGCAACACAATAATCTACACAAAGCCTAGTCTAATTCAGCATCGCCGCCACCCAAACCCAAGGGATATCATTTTGTTTTCAAATAACAAGTGCTAAGAAACAGCAAGCTTATTGGCCCTCTATTGTTGTTATTGTTAAGTGCCATTGAGTCAGTTTTGACTCAGAGTAACCCCATGCAGGGTTTTAGAGGAGCAGCTGGTAGGTTTGAACTACTAACCTTGCAGTTAGCAGTCCAATGCTTATCCTACACCACCACACCAGGACTTAGCATGGCCTTTATTCCCCTACTCAGGACTGCAAACGACCGTGACAAAGAGGAGGAAAGGGCTCAGAGGTAAAACAGAAACCTGGGAGAGGTGGTTTGCCATTGATGGAGATGAGAGAGCATGGCCATTCCATCGTTGTCTTGGCTTCGTCCATTCCTCTATCTGTACCCTGACCTAGCCCACAGAGGCCCAGCCACTGTCAACTGAGGGAGACGGTTGGTTCCTAGAAACAGGGACCCGGGCTGAGGACAAACCTGGTCACTGCGGGCGATTCCATAGCGGATCTCATTCACAAAGTGCTCACAGTTCTCACTGGTCAGCTTGTACAGCACCTCCTGCCCCACCATCGCCTCTGCCCGCTGGATGATTTTGACGCCAGGTAGCACTGGGTACTTGTCATCATGTTTGTTATTGACCCGGTATTTGTCTCGTCCAGCCACAACACACAGCAATTCCCTCTTCACGATGGCCTTATCTGTCAGAGCAGACATGACACTGGCTGCACCAGCTCCAGCTATTTCACCTGGGGACCAACAAAGAGGAGACATGGAGATTGGTCCTGGGCAGGGCCACAGGGGCTGGGCTGAGCTGACCCAGCCCCATCCACAAAGGATGAGCAGGATATTAACGAGGGCAGCTCTAAGGATG